ATTAACACGTTGACTGCGAGATAATCTCAATGTACTTTGTCCGTGACTGCGATACATATCTTCGGGGATATGTAACAAAACTTCATCTGTGTGCGGTATATATCCCTGGGGATATGTAATTTTTTTTACATTTGACCCTATAAAATTAAAAATAACACAATTATTGCTATAAATTTGCATGTATCTGTAACTATATATCCTAGGATACTAACGTTTTCATTCGCAAAGAGTTTTGAAAAGAAAATAATAGAAAAATCATTATTTCTAAAAAGTACAGATTCTGCAACTTCCACAAAATACAGTAAAAATCTGATTATTGAGATTCTCATATTTTTTATAATGAGTACATACCCCCGAGGTATGTACCGCAGTCAACATCTTAAAACCCACCAAATTTCATTTGCACATCTCGACCGGTTTCAGAGCAATAAATTAAATCGTCAGTTTTTAAGAAAAACTTTGTCACCCCGTTTCTCGGAAAACGAATCATTTGCGGACGTACCTTTATAAGCAAACTGCCATTATTTTCTCATGTAGAATCACCCCCTGAAATTTGTCGCACTTATTTACTAACACCCTGTATATGTATTTAACTTATTTTGGTCTTTTCTATAAAATTTTGAACAATCAATTGATTGCAAGCCAACATGTGGTCACCTAGAATAAAGAGGAACATGTTGACTTAATTAATTGGTGTATTATGTCATCGTAGCACTAAGTTTAATACTTTCTTCATACTTCCTTTGTTTTTGTGTCCTGTAATTGGGCGATCTACCTGTTTGGGTAATAAAGGATTTATTTAACTGAAAGAACATGACAAAAAGCCCCTTAAATATTTCTAAACGTTTTGTGCACAATGTCTATACTTACCAATTATGTGCAGGCACTGCTTTTTTACGAATATAGAGAAATTATGAATTTCAGTTTGTGGAAATGTACCCTCCTGTTGTCGTTGCAGCAGGTGAGACTTACAGCTTTAGCGAATATTTGGCAAGGGAAGACATGGTTTCGAATGCATCGATATGCATCATCCACACAAAACGTCATATTTGGCAAGTGACCGCATCATCTGGAGCTAGCTTTGCTACTACGTATCGATAACGACTATATTTGCTATATTTCCCTTTTATTATAGGTTAAATGACTGTACCAATGCAGCTTTCAGATATAGTCTTAGCGCATGATATTCATTTTTATACAATTTTTGATTTATAAAGCAGGTTGTGTTTAAAATATTGGTTGATGTATTGCTTTGCAGAGCAGTAACAGTAGAGAGGAATTCTTATTGTTACTTTCAATGTGTAATGAATCATGACCATAATCCAAGTACACACATTTAATATTTTTGTGAAAGTTTATTTTCTTTTATACATACTGTACAGAGAACAATATACGTTAGGACATTAATACAAAGAATTTAACTAACAAAATTGTTCCCTACTCTTACAAACATGAGGCACATTACCTATACAGCATTGAAAAATCTAGAAAATCCAAATAATTGAAATGAATTGTAAATATTTTCTTAAGAAATGTCACCACATGAAGTCATGTGCAGTATTATGCGTTATAGAGGTTACATTCTCCAAATGGATCATCTGGATAAAATTAGATTATTTTTTATTTTATCCAGATGACACTTCAATAAATTTTCTTTAAGCTACAACGAATTTATAAAACAGATCATTTTACTTGTCAATAAAAAGTAATTTTTAGTTGATGGAAACTAGTTTTGATGACTTTTCTACATTGTACCTTCAGTCTTTCTAGATCTCTCTATATAATGCAACATTACCTTCCTCAGCGCCTACGGAAGGGCTGTTCAGTTCTGAACTGGAGATGTTTACTTCACAAAGGAATACATTGAGCGACAAACATTTTGAAATATTAAAAGCTGGTAGGAGCATACTCTCGAGAAATTACAATGCATACATTTTTTTTTCTGTTATGATAAATTATTAAATGAGATTTTCAGAGATTATAATGCGTATATTTTTATGTTATTTTCCCAGTTCTCTTCAGACCCCGTATATAAAAAAGAACTAAAGACAATTCCACTCATTCTGTTTTTTGGTACAACTAGATTCGTTACTGAATAACATTTTTCTAACAAAAGGGTCTCATTTTTTAAAACATTGCCTTTACTAATAAATAAATATTATTTCACACCTGAAACAAATTACAAATTACTTACATTTTTTTATCATATGAAATTTATGTAGGTAATGTTAGATTATCTAGTTAGTTTATATACAGGGTGTTTCAGAACGACCAAATACAGGGGGGATAGTTTGACAAAAAATAACAATTTTTGTGTACTATATGTCTATCTTCTCTTGTTTTCGAGATACAGAGCGACAAAATAAAAATGTTTAATACAATTTTTACGAAAATTTCCAAACGGTGCGAAATATTTTTATTAAATTTGGAATTCCGGTGTTTTTAAGGATGCCAAATACACTGGTCTAATTATTTTTTGGATAGAGCTAATTATGTTACAATCGTATTACATTTTAAGTTTTAATTTTTTTAAGGTTGGGCTTCTTCCATGCGGGCTCCAATTTCTAATGTACAATTTTATTTTCTAAAAATAATGTACTCTTGTTAGAACTTCCTAATGTGGACGGTTTTTGAGAAATAAGGCTTTCAATTAAACTCTTACAATATTACAGTGTATAAAATAAGTGACTTTTCTCAAAGTAGGCTTTTGACGAAACTTATTCATGAATCTCTTATATACAACGCATACATTCTTAGTAATATTTTAAACTCTAATTAACTTTATATCAAATTTTAGTGATTTTTAGTGACTGTAGTTAGTAATGACTAATTACATGACATATAAGGAAAAAAATTCTTATTTTTTGTCATACTATTACCCCGTGCATTTACGGGAGGTCTTTCTGAAACACCCTTTATATAAGCCAGTACATAATTTTCTTTGGCCTGTATCCAGATTGTATTTTTAGGTTTCATCTGTTATCTTATCTAAAGGAAACATGTTTCATTATCTTTACAAACACTGCTCATATGTCTTCTTTTATATCAAATATCTAGGTATGAGAAGGAATTAACAAGGTAGTAGTTTACTATTTTCCTAATTAAAATTAATATAATTACCTATTAATAATAAAAGCATACATATCTATAATATCACCAAAAGAATTGTAGATAAATTTTAAGAATTAATTATTATCTTAAGAAAACCTTAAGAATTAAGAAAACCCTAAGTATTAAGAAACTCCTAAGAAAAAAATTAAGAAAACCTTAAGAATTAAGAAAGCTTTAAGAATTAATAAAACTTTAAGAATTAAGAAAACCTTAAGAATTAAGAAGACCTTAAAAATTAAGAAAACCTTAAGAATTAAGACAATTTTAAATATTAAGACAATCTTAAGAATTAAGAAAACTTTAAGAATTAAGAAAGCCTTAAGAATTAAGAAAACCATCAGAAGAATGAAGAAAATCTTAAGAATTATCCTTAATTAACATTAAAAAAACCTTAAGAATGAATTATAATTAGCTTAATAAGGTTTAAATAGGGAAAAAATTTCAATTGTTTCCAAAAACGTTCAATATTTTACTTTTACTTATAGTACTTGTAGAATATTCACATATACTCGTATAACAAGAAAATAGACAAAAAGCTTTACTTTTTGCATTTTATTCTTGTTTGCGATATCGAGTAACTGATTTTCTTTTATTTATATGTCTATACAGTTTTTTGCATAAAATACAATTATATTTTTGGATTTTGAAGTTGTAACCCATACTTTTTGCAATTGATTACCCTTTTCCATTTTTGAAATCTTTTTTTCCGAGGTACCTGGTACTGGATTTAAAGTTATATTTTTTTATTGAATCACCCTGTATATTACTTCATATTTAAATAGAACGTCTTTTCGTGATTTCAATGATATAATATTTGATAGATCAACCTCTAATAATAAAGAAAACTCAAATATAGACTATCAAAACTATGTATATCACTAATATTTAAAATGTATTTTGCCCCAATATGAATTAATACCTATATGTATATTCTAATAAAGTTGTTTCGTAAAGCCATCTTGTACAAAATTTAATATCGTCATAATATGATACTTCTAGGTAATAACTATAATTTACTTATTTAACATTTTTTTTCAAAACTTTAAAAACAGATTGTTAAAGTGGAGTGACATTTATAACTATTAATAAATAATGCATTATGCACCACTGAACAAAAATAAATTTTTCATTAAAATGGCGCATTTTATGGAGAACCATTTCTGCAGTAATATGTCTAAAATGTGCAGATTCTAAATATGATTTTAGTCAGTGGCGCATCATTTATTTGAAAATAGATCTATAATAACATTTACACGCCACTGGATTTTCGAATTTAGCTGAAACAATACCTAATAACAGAAAGCCAGAATGTAAAATTTAAAACTAATTTAGGTGTCCGAAATATGACTAAAAGTAATTTTATTTTTTTTAAGATCAACATCCTGTACAGTGGAACTAACAAGCTTGCCGACAAATTTATATATGAACCACCCACATTAATTTTCATAGTAAAATTTGATAAAGAAATTTGACTTACTCTTTAGCGGGCACCCACGGTAAAAATATATTTTTTAAATTCGACTGTTTCCAACAATAAAATATTGAATTATAAAAATGGTATTTAGTAACTGCATACGTTTGAAACAATAACGATTATATTTTCTTTGACGCATTAGCTAATTATAGTTTTTCATTCATTAAAATTCAACTGGGTAAGTATAGAAGATCCATGTTTGGATATCCGTCAAATCTGAACCTAAATTTTATTCAAATGCTGTAGTCACAATACAGTCGAACATAAATATATTTTTTCACTTAACAGTTTTCTAAGTGCAGTGCACTGTCGCAAATTTTCGCACCACCTGCATATGTACGAAGAGTAACATACGGAAATTTAAAAGTATGATCCATTTTCTGTGATCTCAGCAATTTTTGGGCGTGGGCAAGGTTGTTATCAAGATATAAAACCAACTGTCTACCAGATTTGGGTATCACTTGTTCGGGTATCACAAGAGCAGCACAATGAACACTTTAGTAAGTATTACTGTCGCTTAAGACGTATATTAACCTTGTTCCATAATGTGTACCGGCCTTGTCTCACTAACCAAATTTAATTACATAATAGGGGTGCGGATTTTTCGCGACCTTCCGATATTACGCGAGATAAGTTACTGTGATAGTGTCACAGCTTTTTTCGACGTGTATTACCAGATGTGTGACAAAATGTGATAAATTAATTAAGTGAAAGTCGACATTGTCAAGTTCAATTCTAAGTTTGTAACGCTTTATCTAGTTAAAGGATAACCGCATTTATAACCGAATATTTATTGTTTTTTCATTGAAAAATTCACGAAGGAAATCTATGTTATTCTAGACGCCTTCAATCATTTTCTCATCTAACTTAAAATTGTAAGTAATAAACCTTTTAGTTTGATATTTATTTCTTAAAAATATAATTTTAAACATTTTCTTAAAATCAGTTATTTCTACATTTAATTTAATATTTTGTGTTGAATATATTTGGATTTTTTTCTGTCACAAGTACAGTACCGTTTAAATTATAAATTAATTAAATTAATTATTATTAATTACAAATGATGCATTTTAATTAACTTAAATATTATTATTATATTTTTGACTTATATAATCATAAGAATATTTTAACTATTAGATGTTTAAATTTATGAAATTTTATATTAAATATAATTCGTGAAATGAAAATTATATACAGGGTGGCAAAAATGATAAATTCGCATTTCTGCGCAATCAGCTTATCCTTTCTTTCAAAATTACAGTTTAGTAATTAAAAAAGACCAGTAGGCCAAGGCACTACAATAACGTCATGTTTCCATGTTTAGGATAAAAAAAATTGCTAATGCCATCCTCAGAAGTAATAATTTTCAAATACTCGGATTTAAAAAGAAAGAATTCTTTATTTATCCTTTACTTGTTATTAAAGACAAGTGACACTTATAAATTGGGACACTTAGAAAACTTGTTTTGGAATGTCATTATATTCCATATCACTTCATATTTATTTTAAGTAGTTTTAATAACATTTTTCAAATTTTTATTCATCTATTTGCATTTCTTTATATCACTTAACAATTAATACAATTTTTTCCAAAAAATTTCAGTACAGTTACGTACATACATAGATTTTTTACTTAAGGGTATATTTGATCATCTAAATATGAATATCGTTGATACGTAAGATAATTAAATAAATAAAAAAATTGAATTGAACAACTTCACTAATAAAGGTTGCGAAAAAATTGTCTTCACTTTGATAGGATACACATTATTAAAAATCTTCAATATTTATTATTATGTAAGTTATAGATATTTTTTTCAGATCATTGATGTTTTTTTTTTTTCATTTTGATTTTGAAATAACGTAGTTCATATGTTATATTTTGAATTAATTAATAACAGTTTCGCTTTTATGTTTCTTAGTTCGTTTTTTCTACTTCTCTTGTTTCTTCTAATCTCTTCCAAACTTACTTTTATCCTATTATATCCTATATTTTCGTCAATTCTAGACTGTTGTATTCGCCATTGGAGTTATCGCCTGCGCCAATGCAGGAATCGTTGCTCCAGCCCTAGGATACGCAGGAATTGTGGTGCCTGCAGGATCAGGTCTCGAAGGCCAATACGTCCCCAGCGGACTCGAAAGGCTCTACGACGACGGATCCTACAAGCCAGAAATCAGCCCATTGCCATTGAGCCCCTCTCCCTATGGTCTGGTCCCATCCGGATCTGGTTTGGAAGGCCAATACGTGCCAAGCGGTCTCGAGACTTTGTCTGATGATGGTTCCTACAAACCTGAAATCAACCTATTGCCCTTGAGCCCCTCTCCTTATGGTCTTGTGCCATCCGGATCTGGACTCGAAGGAGCCTATGTTCCAGATATTTCGGAGAAGCTCTATGACGATGGATCTTACAAACTCTTACATTGATAGAATTTAAATTATTATAGCAAATATATAAAATTGTAAATTAAATTTGTGTTTGTTTTCATCGGTCTAAAAAATTAGTTTTAAAGTTAGTCTTCCTTCTAGCATCATGATCTAAAATAATGATAGATTTAAATCCATTGGTCTTATAGAGAAAAGAAGTGTACATGATACGTAAAAGAATATTTATTAAACTTATAGATATATTTTATTGCAAACACAATACGACGACCTTTGGTTAGAAGCATATGAAGAAGGAATCAAAAATAAAATCTGAAAAGTATTCCGTATAAAATTTGATTGAAAATTCCATATATTTTTTCATATTAAAAACAAGTTCAAAATGTTGGCAAAAAAATGTTCGGCATATCATATTGTTAAACTCAACCATTTACCATTTTGTTAAAATTTTGACAACTGCAAGGCTCTACAAAAATCTCAATATTTTTTTCCGATGATACTTGAACTGCAATTTTTAACATGGCATGAAATCATAAAATTGTCCACCTTTTGCAGTTAGTATAAGTTCGGAAAGAATATACCGAGTGTTCCGTTTTTCCTTACAAACTATTTTATTTCAAATTAAAATTCTATGTAACAGTGGAATGAAAATTTTCATTCAATTACTGATTTGTATGCTTGATTTTTGTAACTTTTTCCAAGCATTAAAAAAATAATCAACTCCTCTCATGCTTGTTTATATTTTCTTTTAATAAATAGAGCCACTGTCACTTAATATTCTAGGAGGTAAAATTAATAACATCTTCTGTCAATGTGCCTTATACTGAAATTGAAAAACATGTATGTAAAAATAAAACGTGAAAATTAAAAAAATAATCAGTGCTTATGATACGAAAATATAGTGAAAATTCCTAGAAAAATATGTTGCAAAAAATTTTAATTTTTAAGATAACTACCTATGTATTTTACACTCATTGTTACTTTGATTTGTCAAAAACTTGTAACTATAACCTTACAATACTCATATCGGAGAAAATAAGTTTTCATTTTCAATAACAAAGCTAGGGATTCTTGCAGAATGATACAGCTGCGTTAAAATATTAACAGGATCGTAAATATTTCCGAGCTGTTGAGTAAAGCTGCAGAGCATGCTATATAGGTATTTGAATAATTCCAAATATTTCGAATTTTCACCACCAAGAACGGCGGTGACAACATTTTTAACATTAAGGCGATGTTTCGCAGCGTATTAGCTATGTCCTGTATAAATTTAGTTTCATGCAACTCTCTCGGTTTCAAAAATACAATACCTATGTATGTTTTCTGCCACGGCATTTGAATAATTCCAAATATTTCGATTAAGGCGATGTTTCGCATCGTATTAGCTATGTCCTGTACAAATTTAGTTTCGTGCAACTCTCTCGATTTCAAAAATACGATACCTATGTATGTTTTTAGCCAGGAAATTTGAATATTTCCAAATATTTCAAATTTTCACCGCCAAGAACGGCGGTGACCACATTTTTAACATTAACGCTATGTCCTGTATAAATTTAGTTTCGTGCAACTCTCTCGGTTTCAAAACTACAATACCTATGTATGTTTTCAACTACGGAATTTTCATAATTCCAAATATTTCGAATTTTCACCACCAAGAACGGCGGTGACAACATTTTTAACATTAAGGCGATGTTTCGCATCGTTTTAGCTATGTCCTGTATAAATTTAGTTTCGTGCAAGTCTCGCGGTTTCAAAAATACAATATCATTTCTCTTCACTCTATATAGTTGCGATATTGTTTCTTTAAATGTTTACATTATATAATCACCTGTGTGCAATAGCTGTTTCCAACAAACCAGAAACGTTACGGTACGTTACACTGTTGCATACCTATTTCATTTTTATAACCTGGCATAACTGCAGTGTAACTTGCTTTATATTGTTTTATTATAGGGGATACAAGATCTGCTGTTAGATTTACTCTTTCAAAATAATGGTATTATTAGTTACTCCCTGCTTATTTAACGTTAAGGTAGAATAGGCTTGGGTATATTACCCAAGAATAATTAGAAAGTAACTAGCATCAAAGTAGTATTTTAATTTAAAGTATAAAAATTCAAGACAAAAAAATACTAAAATCTTGTCAAAAGAAGTTAAACAATGTTCGGGGTATGAAAAAGATTTATTACCTTATGGACATCATTATTAACAGATGATAATGCAGAATACACATACAGTTGTTCCAAAGAAATCATATTTGTTTTTTATACTTTCTCATCCTAAAGCTTACCTATTTGTTTATTCATTGAGATTTAATAAAATAATAGTAAAATGTAGGAATTGAGACGTTTCTATTTAAAACTTTAGAATTAGAAACTTACGTTATATTTACATTATGTTGATTAGTTGGCAGTGTCAATAGCGGCCAATAGCAGTGGCTAGTTATTTAAGTGCAAATCTATAATATACAGAATTTAACGAAATACTGTAATCTAATTTTGTTAACAAATCGTAAAATGATATTGTCTTTCTATAGGAATCATAGAATTGATTGAATATTTGTTGTAGAAAAACAGCTGTAGTGCGTAAAACTATTACGTCATACGCCGTTCAATGCGGTAGTTTAAAATTAAATATTTTAGTAATAGTATTAGGTAACCGTCTTTATTGAAGAAACATGCATCATACAAATAAACAGCAAGACGTAAATGTGTATTTATTAAAAACTTGGTAAAACATAATAATTACTTTTAAACTTAAAACAATTTAGGTAAATCTAGAAGCTTACCAATAAGTAAATTGATAGACTTAACATCGTTGTACGTAAAGGATCAAAAAAAAGTTGTGTGATATAAACGCACATTTAATTTGTATTTATAGCAAACATTGATTGCATCTACAGGTTTTTTTTTCGATGTTTGTGTGCAGGGACCTGGGAAAGTAGCAGATATACAAAAAAGTTTAAATGAGGAAAGATGTGCAGTTTTATGATCCTTATTAAATGTTACTTCTATTTTTTGAAAAAACGTCGTAGCTGACTAGATATTTGGAAAAATCCGAATTCGGCCAACTCCTTCAGTGCGTGTAGCTCCGATGCTATTTATTTTACATATGATCGTATTTTTCTTTAAATTGTTATTTTGTACAAAGTAAATTCTATTTTTGCACTACATAAAGACAAGTTGTATAAAATATTATTAAAATGAGATAAAACAAGCGGTTTACAAAGACTTTTTTAAAGGGAAACTTAAAATGTCAATTTGAATACAGAATTTTTACGGAAGAGATACAAAATTTTTGGGCAACTTTTTTTATATAATCTTTAATACAAAAATCGTAATCTTTTTCGTTTTGAGTAGGCGGTCTAACAGAGATTCCTGATATAATTAGGACTACGCAATGAAAATTTAGTATAAAACCTAAATTTTTGGCGGTTTAACAAATTAAAGCGATTTCTGTTAATACAAAGCATTAAAAATAATTTGAACGGATTTCATTTTTGATCTACAAAAAGTTCACTTAAAAGATGTAAATCATCATTGATTGATTTCATGACTTGTTCATACTCCTTGTGTTCAAAATCAAAATAAGTCTGGTTATCCTCAGCGAAAACATACACTTCCCAACAAATTTAAAAATATTTGATGTACATACTAAAAACAGTAGTGGTCCACGGACATGTCCTTGAGATAGACCATAGGCGACATATCACTCTCAGCTCTAGATATTTTGCTCTTTAGTTATGAAATTTCAGCCAGCAATGAATTCTTCTTTGATTTTACCTTCAATGTTTAACTTTACCAGGTACTAATAAGCTGAACGTCCCACATATTAATAATCAGTTATGTATTATTGGCATATCAGGCATGTATTTGCATCGACATTAAGCCCTCTATCCTGCATTATCATAAGGTTCATTACGTTTTCAGGCAAAGCTGTTTTGTCGTGATATCGATCCGACCCCATTAAAATAGTTTTCGTAGTTTCCCTAATTTGCAGCATTCTAATCGTGAATCTGGTATGTACCTCAGCCAAGCTAACTATGTATCCAAGCAAGCCTAGATTCTTATGTCTTGACGCAACGTTTACCGTTACCTTATGTCTTTACTGTTTTTTTATTTTATATAGTGAGTCGAAGAAGGCTAGATCACTTTTAAAAATCACAGTAGGTATATTTTCTATATGACAGATCGTGTAAATGTAAACAAAATAATGGCAGTGTAACTAACCATCAGCTTTACAAAATAAAAGTAATATTTTGAAAAATAAATGCTAATTTGAAATAATGAAATACACAGTACTCTTTTTTTACACATAGTAGTTTTAACAGTTAATAGAGGAGTTGATAGGATGTCGAATTAAATTATTTTTTATCGTTTTTCGTGTTTTCTAAAAAAAAAAACAGAACTAAAATCAATATGAGTAAGTCTTATGATGACATAATGTCCTTTAAAAATGGTCTACAAATCTGTCACCAGTGGTGTGGTAGATGAGTAGTTAGTGCCCCTTTTCTAAATAGAATTTCTAGGCAAGCGTTTTTTTAAAAGTTCATGACAATTTTGACGTTGCTAATTTTAAATGAAAAGCTGTTTTTACAAAATTGTCATAAAATTAAAGGGTTTGAGTACATGGTGTGAAGCCCCTTTAGTGCACATAGAGATTGTAGAAAGTTTTAATTGACTTAGACAGATCTAGTAGTCAATGAACTTGTTTAGTGGTCATTAGTTGTTAGCAACTCACAAATAAATAACCGTCACTACGATTATCGCGCCGTAAATAAAAATGATAGGTAAATGAGATCCTGTTTCATGATTTCAACGGACACCCGACATTAATCCCGTTGATTATTTTGCCTGCGGTCATATGAAATAGCAGGAATATTCTTCTCCAATAAATACACGGTCATTATTGCGATGATTGCAGTTATGTGTCGAACGGAATGACTTATAGTTTGCCCGTCTACTTTAATTTCTGTTTACTGTTCTCTTATAGTTACAGTTTGTTTTTAAATAATATAATATAATTTTTTTTGTCGTTTCGTTTTGGCTAATCCGCTGGGATATATATTTAATCTCGCTCTTAAAACC